CAACACACTATACAGTGTGTACAGTTCAGTCAAGACAGCTAAGTTACTGTGGGAATCATTGGAAAAAAAGTACAAAACGGAAGATGTCGGATTAAAGAAATTCGTTGTGGGCAAATTCCTACATTTCAAGATGATAGATTCTAAAACAGTGATGAATCAAGTCCAAGAGCTGCAAATCATCTTGCATGATATACATGCAGAAGGTATAAAGCACAATGAGTCATTTCAGGTCGCCGCTATTATCGATAAATTACCTCCAATGTAGAAAGATTTCAAGAACTACCTGAAACATAAACGTAAGGACATGGGACTTGAAGATCTGATTGTAAGACTAAGAATTGAGGTAGATGATCGAAAATCTGAGAAGAAGTCTAGAAAGCTGCATATGAAGGCTAAAGCTAATGTGGTGGAGCCAAATATTAGCAAGAAAAGAAAACACTTAAATAATGGCAAGCAAAAAAATAAGGCTAAGAAATTCAAAGGAGATTATTATAATTGCGGTAAGCCTAGTCACATCGCAAAGGATTTCCGATAGAAAAAGCAAAACAAAAAGGGCCAAGTACACATGACCGAGGAGACAAATTATCTAACGGTGTGTCTGAACTAATGCTCTCAGCTGTTGTATTTGAAGTAAACACGGTGGACAATCCAAAAGAATGGTTCATAGACGCAAACGCTACTCGACATGTTTGTGCCGATAAGGAGATGTTTTCATCTTACACTCTTATCAATGGATGACAATTATTTATGGAAAACTCGGCAATATCCAAAATTGTTGGTCTAGGTAAAGTAGTGCTAAAGATGACATCAGGAAAAGAAGTAACTCTCGTCGATGTGTTGCATGCTCTTGATATTTGCAAACACTTGGTATCCAAAGCTTTGTTAAGCAAAAATAGGTTTAGGCTAGTGTTTGAGTCTGATAAGTTTATACTTACCAAAAGTGGCATGTTTGTCGCAAGGGGTACTTAGCCAATGGGCTATTCAAAATGAATGTAATGCCTGTACTTCGTGATTTTGATATTAATAAAATTAAATCTTCTGCTTACTTGATTGAGTTCTCTAACTATGACATGATAGATTAGGACATGTTAATATCAAAACTTTACGTAAATTAGTAAGTTTAAATCTATTGCCTTCAATTTCATTTTATCAATATCATCCATGCGAAACTTGTGTAGAGGCTAAATTAGCTAAAACACCATTTCATTCAGTGGAAAGGAACTCAAATCCTCTAGAACTCATTCACAGTGATACCTATGACTTAAAGTTCATACAAACTAGTGGAGGAAAAAGGTATTTTATTGCTTTTATAGATGACTGCACTAGGTACTATTATGTATATTTGCTACGAAGCAAAGATGAGGCCTTAGAAGCATTTAAATAGTACAAGAATGAGGTTCAAAATCAACTTAACAAACGAATAAAAGTTATTCGTAGTGACAAAGGTGGAGAATATGGGGCACCGTTTGAAGAATTGTGTTCAGTTTCTGGGATTATTCATCAAACTAAAGCACCGTATTCACCTCAGTCAAATGGTATTATTGAATGCAAAAATCGTACTCTTAAAGAGATGATGAACGCTATGTTAATCAATTCTGGTTTACCTGAGAACTTGTTGGGAAAAGCAATCCTCTTAGCAAACCACATTCTAAATAAATTACCACACAAAGATAAGAACGAAACTCCTTCTGAGTTATGGAAAGGTCATAAACATTCGTACAAATACTTAAAAGTGTGGGGGTGTTTGGCTAAGGTAGAAGTACCAAAACCTAAACAACTTAAAATAGGGCCAAAAACCATCGATTGTGTATTAAGTGGATATGCCAATAATAGTAGTGCGTATCGGTTCCTCATACATAAGTCCAACATTCTAGACATACATAAAAATACTATTATTGAAGTAAGGAATGGTGCATTTTTTGAGGACATTTTTCGTTGTAAGGATAAGAAAGAGATTGGTTCACAAAAACGAACTTATGATACTACAATTAGTAATCATCAAAGTGATGAAGAACCAAGACGTAGTAAAAGGTTCAAAACAGCTACATTCTTTGGTCAAGATTTGCTAACTTATTTGTTAGAAAATGAACCTAAGACATTCAATGAAGCTATGTCATGTCCAGAAGCTTCATTCTAGAAAGAGGCTATCAATAGTGAAATTGATTCTATTATATAGAATACATGGGAACTGGTAGATCTCCCACTAGGTAACAAACTGTTAGGTTGTAAATGGGTTTTCAAGAGAAAATTAAAGACTGATGGATCAATTGATAAATATAAGACCAGATTGGTAGCTAAAGGATTCAAACAAAAGAAAGGTCTTGATTTTTTCGATACATACTCTCCGGTAAGAAGAATAACGTCTATTAGAGTATTAATTGCAATTGCAGCATTGCATAATATGGAGATCGATCAGATGGACGTTAAAATAGCCTTCTTAAATAGAGAGCTAGACAAAGAAATTTACATGGAACAACCTGGGGGGTTCACTTCTCCTGGGCAGGAGAAAAAGGTGAGTAAACTCGTTAAGTCACTATGCGAACTAAAGCAAGCACCAAAACAGTGGCATGCAAAATTTGATAAAACTGTGCTGTCAAATGGCTTTAAGATTAACGAATGTGATAAATTTATTTATATTAAAACCACACCTAGTGCATATGTAATTGTATGTCTCTATGTTGATGGCATGCTAATAATGAGTAGTAATCATGATATCATAATAACTACCAAGAAAATGTTGACAAAACATTTTGACATGAAAGATATGGGTATTGCAGATGTAATATTAGAAATTAAAATCCTTAAGACATTCGAGGGACTTGTTCCATCTCAATCTCACTATATTGAGACTCTGCTTAAGAGATTTCATGTATATGATGAAAGTCCAGTTAAAACTCCAGTAGACTTAAGTCTACATTTGGCCAAACATAAAGGCGAGCCCGTATCTCAGTTGGAATACTCTCGAATAATAGGTAGTCTAATGTATATCACCAACTGCACTCATCCAGATATAGCATATACAGTGAACAAACGTAGTAGATTCACAAGTAATCCAAATAATGACCATTGGAAGGCATTGACAAGGGTTCTTAGATATTTATGATACACCTCAAATGTTGGATTACATTATACAAGACATCTAGGTGTATTAGAAGGATACAATGATGCTAATTGGATATCATATACAAAAGACTCAAAATCCACTAGTGGTTATATCTTTACCATCGGTGGTGCGGTCGTATCTTGGAAATCATCTAAACAAACGTATATAGCTCGATCCATGATGGAATCAGAGTTCATAGCTTTAGATAAAGCTGAAGAAGAAGCAGAATGGCTTCATAATTTTTTAGAGGATATTCCATGTTGGCCTAAACATGTGCATGTAGTTAGTATACGTTATGATAGTCAGTCGGCTATCGGTAGAGCACAAAGTAATATGTATAATGGTAAGTCTCGACATATCCGTCAAAGACATAACACAATTAAGCAGTTGATCTCGAATCGTGTCATTTCCATAGATTATTTAAAATCTAGAGAAAATCTCACGAATCTGCTCACAAAAGGTTTACTAAGAAATCAAATGTACTGCCTATCAAGGGGAATGGGCTTAAAGCCTACTAAGTAAGGATCTTTGTAATGATAACCCAACCTTGCTGACTGGAGATCCCAAGATCTTGGTTTAATGGGACAACTAAGTTATGAAGATTCAAAAAGCACTTCGGAGTTTACTCCTACCCATTCCTATGATAAGAGAAGTGCTAGGTTCAATGGGACAACTAAGTTATGAAGATTCAAAAAGCACTTCGGAGTTTACTCCTACCCATTCCTATGATAAGAGAAGTGCTAGGTTCAATGGGACAACTAAGTTATGAAGATTCAAAAAACACAAGTGCAATGAGAGCACACGAAGTAATAGCATAGGGTCTAAAACATGGGAGGATTCATAATGTAACGATCCGAGCTTGTTCAAGTCGTTATATCATACATATTGTCAGCTTTGGAAAAGCATCTTTACCCCAACGGATTTATGTCATATCCTCCAGAATACGAATCCAAATCATCTACTTTGTGAGAGATTTAAGTTGAATATGGGTACCAACTGAGCTCTGTTTTTTGCAACGACCTGATCTTGTATCCAAACTGTTATATCATACGTACTGTCCACTTTTAGGAGGACATCTACCCTTTTACCTCTCACAGAATTCTGTCACGTCCCCCAAGATTCCAAACCAAAACATCTGCTTTATGAGAGGCTTAAGTAAAATCCTGGTACCAATTGATGGGCACAAGGCTCGAGTCATTCGTATTCAAATCGTTATATAATACGTATTGTCCGCTCTGTGAGGAAATCTCTCGTAAGGCAAAGTTTTAGATTCGAATTTTTTGGGGGCATAAAAGAAAGCAATGAGGGGGTAGTTGGGATCAAGTATACTATAAACGGCTTAAACAAGAGGCTCGAGTTGTTACACATAAAAACTTAAGTCCCTCTTCATAATTTTTACTTGGAAAATTAATACAAAATTCTCTTATTTTTCTCATTAATTTTGAATTATTTAAATAAAAAAATTTAACATCTCACTTGATTCATTGCACTACTACTGAAACAAAATCTCCTTGTAATTAAATTAACTATTTTTTATAATTCGTATTATGGATTGATTAGACCTAATCTCAAACACTAAATCTTGATTAGACAGGAGGGAATTTTATACCTTCTAGATGGCTTAGTCAAGAAAAAGCTCCCATAGCAATAATGTTCTGTTTGGACATCTGGAGTGTGAAACTGAAAGTAACGGGTCTTTCCATAAGTACATTGTACATTTTGTTCAAACAAACAGACTCTAAGTATTGACTGCAATGAGTCAATAGAGAGACGATACTGAGTTCTTGAAATAACACCAATTTCCTTCCTCAGTGAAACAAAGAAGCCAAACCCCAAGAAAATGGAAAACCTATTTTCCATTTCTGTTTTTCCCTATTTTCTCATTCTTTCTACATTAATGGCAGCATCAGCCCAGAAACAAAGATATGCTAATATTTCCCTTGGTTCTTCTTTAAATATCGGTACAAATTCATCATGGTTGTCGCCTTCTAGACTTTATGCTTATGGATTTTACAAGATAACCAATGGCTATGTTGTTGGAATTTTTATTGCTGGGATTCCAGAAAAGACTCTAGTGTGGACGGCCAACAAGGATTATCCAGTTTTTCCCAGCAACGCCATTTTGTTATTAACCGACGATGAAAGGCTCATTTTGTAGCAGGAAGATAGAGATGACGTAAACATTGTAAATCCAGACCAGTCTATTGCTTCAGCTTCAATGCTTGGCAGTGGTAATTTCGTGTTGTACAATTCGTCTCAGAGTATCATGTGGCAGAGTTTTGATCACCCAACAAACACTCTTTTGCCCGGTCAACGTCTCCTGGCTGGAGAAGAGATCGTCTCCAGTGCTTCGGAAACGAATCCTGCGAGAGGGATTTTCCATCTCGTGATGCAAGCTGATGGGAACCTGGTGCAATACCCTATGGAAATTTTCGGACCCAATTATGCTTACTATGCATCAGGCACACGGGGAACAGGTAATAATGTATCACTGAATCGTGATAATAATGGCCATCTTTACTTGTTCAACGGAAGTGCCATTATAAGCAATCTAACGAGAGGACAACATCGAAAAAGAATTATCAACCTCACAAGAATTGATGTTGATGGTAATTTTCGACCATATTATTGCTCGTTGGATCCTCAAGGAAACTGGACTAAAGAATGGTCATCCTCGGAAGATAAATGCGCCCCTTTGGGTTTATGTGGGTTGAATGGTTATTGTATTCATTTGGATATAGTTGCGGAGTGTGAATGTCTTCCTCGATTCAATCATGTTAATTCAGGCAATTGGACCACAAGATGCGAGAGGAACTTTCTCACGGAAGGTTGTAAAGCCAATAATCATAATGTCAATTATGAAATCGGCTCACTAGATGACACGGTATGGGAAGATGCTAATTATGCTATTTTAGGAGGACTGACAAAAGAAGATTGTGTAAAAGCCTATTTAGAGGACTGCAACTGCGATGTAGCTTGTTTGCAAGATGGATACTGTAAAAAGCAAAGGCTTCCATTGATATTTGGAAAAATAGTGCGGAGTAATCCAATTGTTGCTCTTATCAAGGTGAACACAACAGCACAAACGACTCGAGGAGTTTCGAGTGATTTGGGCAAAGAAATCAAGAAAGTGATTCGTTTAGATGTCATAATTATAAGCATTTCACTTTTTGCTTTAGCGGCCTTGATCCTGGCAATTTCTGGGATTTATGTCAATAGAAATCATGTTGGGAGATATAAGAAGATCTCAGATGCCGAACTGATTGAGGGTGTTAATTTGAGAGCATTCACCTATCCAGGGCTTGTGGAAGCAACAAATGAGTTCAAAGAAGAGCTTGGTAGAGGAGCGTCTGGCATAGTTTACAAAGGGATCTTATCAGACAACAGAAGTATTGTGGCCGTGAAGAGGCTCGACAAGGAATTGGAAAAGGGAGAAAAGGAATTCGAGACTGAGATGAAGGTGATTGGAAAAACGTATCATCGTAATCTGGTCAGACTTCTTGGTTACTACCGTGAAGGAGCTAATTGGCTTCTAGTACATGAATACATGAAAAATGGATCACTTGCAGATATACTTTTCAATCAAGAAAATCGACTGTGTTGGGAAGAAAGAATTCGTATTGCTCGTGAAATTGCAAGAGGCATCCTCTATTTGCATGAGGAGTGCAAGACACAGATCATTCATTGTGATATAAATCCTCAAAACATACTCATGGATGAGCATAGGTGTGCAAAATTTTTTGACTTTGGACTGGCAAAGCTCTTAAAGAAAGATCAGACAAATACCTATACAGGGATTAGAGGAACTCTGGGTGACGTGGCCCCTGAGTGGAACAGGAAATTGTCTGTGACAATTAAAGCAGATGTTTACAGCTTTGGAATTGTGTTACTAGAGATCATATGTGGTAGAAAAAGTGTCGATTGGAGCCTCTCCGAGGATGAAGCTATTCTTGAAGAATGGGTTTAAAATGCTTTCGTGGGTGGGAAGGTATGTAACTTGGTGGGAGATGAGGAGGTTGACAAGAGAAAATTGGACAGAATGATTAAAATAGGTATTTGGTGCATTCAAGATGAACCATCTCTCCGTCCATCAATGAAAAAAGTTCTATTGATGTTGGAAGGGACTGTAGAAATCCCAGTACCTTCGAGTCCTAGTTCCTTCCTTAGTACAATATAGTTTTACTTTTTCACCTTTTGTGTTTTATTGCATAAATGCGGTTGCCTTTGTGAATATAGTTTGAGTTGGAGAATAAATTAAGCAGTCATGTTCCTGCTTGATTGAAAGCAGATGTTTAAATCAATCAGAAGATCACAAGATAAAGTGGCTGATTCTTGACTTTTCACTATTGTTTTCTATGATGTTAAATAAGACAGTAAATTAACTTATGCTTTGTCTGGTTTTAGAATTTTCTTTCTGGTTTTCTAAAGTTCTGTTTTGTGGCTCTTCGAAAATTGTGGAGAGCCACTTTCTCCCTTATTAAAAATTTCAGACGTACGTCTCTCTTATGTTATGTATGTACGTTTATATTATTTTTATTTAGACAGAAAAGGTTGTTTTAATTCAAAAAAAAAAATCTTTTTGTATTTAGTTATTAAATCTTACCCATATTTGAATTCTTATTAAATGGACAAACTAAAATTGATCTATATTTAATAAAAAGTTGGACTAATTAAAAGAATTTAAGAATTAAACATTTGATGCCAACTTTTTTGAATTTTTAATAGTATGAGAATCTTATTTTAAAGAACATAAAAAATAAAAAATTAGAGAAAACGTTTCTAAACCAAGCAAGGTAAAGCATTTAGTTTTTATTTGGTGGGGATTAAATTCAAATATTTAGTAGATTTTTATAGAAGGTGATGAAATGTATGGTTGAAAAGTTGTAGGTCCTATAAAATGTACGATTAAAATTAATTGTTGACTTTGACTTGGATTAAAATCTTAATTTTTAGTAGCACCAAACAAGGACTTAGTAATTTTTAACTAGCTATACTAAATTATTATTATTTTAAAGCATTTATTTATGTTGATTTGTTAATTCTTTAGCAATTGTATTTTTTTTTAAATCATATTCAAAAATTTAATAAATTGCCTATAACAGTTAAAGCAGATGTTTACATCTTTGGAATAGTGATACTAGAGATCATATGTGGTAGAAAAAGTGTCGATTGGAGTCTCTCTGAGGATGAAGCTATTCTTGAAGAACGGGTTTACGATGCTCTCGAGAGATGGGAGGTATGTAAACTGGTGGGAGATGGGGAGGTTGATGAGAGAAAGTTGGACACAATGATTAAAATAGGTATTTGGTGCATCGAAGATGAACCATCTCTCCGTCCATCGATGAAGAAGGTTCTATTGATGTTGGAAGAGACTGTAGATATCCTTCTTTCCTAAGTACAATGTAATTTTACTTTTTTGAATGATACAAGATTCTCAAGCATATTTTAGTCGATCGTAAATTAA